ACAGAGGGTCCTGTGGCACCTTTGAGACTAACAAGTATTGGGAGCATAAGCTTTCGTGGGTAAGAACCTCACTTCTTCAGCCTAGTCCACCTCCACGGCTCTCTGAGTTAGATGGCGAGTGGCAGCAGGGATGGAAGCGCACAGTTCTGTAATCAAGTTGGGGGACAGGGCTTTCGCATACGTCTCAAGGGCTTTTTGATCCACACTCTTGGTAACATCCTTGTACATCTCTTCTCCCTCCCCAGCCTTTTTTCTTGTATGAACAGACCAGGGCCAGGACTGAGGCAGCATGGGAGGATTTTGCATAGTTTTGCTGTACCTGTTCTTGCTCTGTAGAGAGGAGACATCAAGCTCCAGGCTGTCACTCAGGCCCCTCTCACCAGCACTGAATGCAGAGAGAGTGTAGCCAGCTCCCAGCATGAATGGCATTTTCAAAGCTGTTCAAAGCTCCAGCTCTGCACAACTACACTAATTGTATCCAGAACATAGGACCCTTGAGCAGTTAACACTGCATCAGGGGCAAGCAGGCAACATACAGTTTTAGTTACACTATAAAAGCAGGGAGGTTGAAGTCCAAGGAGACCAAACCCAAATCTTAAGCTCCCCACCACAATGGAACAAGCAGCCACTGCAGTGGATTTGAGAACCAGGAGGATGATGATGCAGTTCATTGCCCTAGAAGAAAAACACTCTGCAGCTGTTTATGCTAAACTTCTTAAACTGTCATCATTACAACCATGTAAAACACAGCGTCAAACCCTATGTACAGTCTGTTTGGATCAGTGTAAAAAGGAACGAGCATTTTGCTTTTCAAACTCACTTACCTTCTTTCCCCCCCCCCCCCCAAAAGCACATACATAACAATGGTTTAAAGTAATAACAATACATTAGCAAGAATCACAAAGGAAGATCTCCATGTTGTAAACAAAAGTAGCAATTGAAAATAAAAGCCAATGGTAGCAGATCTCTCAAAGTGCACCAAAGCGACACACCAGCCTCTAGTCCACTGAAACACAAAGGTTACAGTTGAAACAATGGGGAGTTTCCTGAACTCTGGTGCTGCATTCCTGCCACAGGGCTGCACTGCCTCTGCTCAAAGTGCTAGTTCACCAACAAAAAAACAAAACAAAACAAAAAAGCCTAAACACCAATAAAAACCCTACTCTTTTAAAACTAAATATATTTCAGCTAAGTAAAAGTTACCTTGGGGGAGGAAGCGGTTTTCCTGAGTTAGCATGAAATAACACTGCTTTTGCCATCTGATTGAGGGCATCCTAGGAGCCCTGCATTATTTGTAGAAGTGTCTTGGAATTTGTTCCTCCCCCCCACACATGTGAAGCTGGGCATGATTGTTCTCCTCTCTGCTACCACACAGCTCCTTATCAAGCCCAGATACCACAATGAGGGGGGCAGTATAAGAACCTGAACAGAACTGACTGGAGTGAGAGGAGTTAGTTGTTAGTACAATAAGCCCCCGCAATGATGGTGGGGAATGCCTGAACCTGACATGCTTAAATGGTCATTTGCAACAATAGATTGAAATGGAAAGATTTAAGTTGATTTGTATGTAAAATGTTAATTTCACAGACAAAAAAAGGAACATGCCTGTCTAGAAGTGAGGCATTGCACCAATGATACCCACCCACAGCAGCTGGCTCTGGCGGTTTAGGCCAGTGAAACCTTTGTGCAAAGACACTGATGAAGGAAAAAGGCAAGAGTCTCATTGCTGTAGCAGCAGTCCCAGACTACACAAATGGCTTTGCCTTCTCCTCACATTTTGGAATAAGTCCAAAAGGCAGCAAATGAACCAGTTTGGAGCAGGGTGGGGGTTGCCCAAACTGCCCAACTGAAGAGAAAACACTATAGGGACTGATGGCACTTACCCCCTCACCTTTAATGAGGACTCAAGGTCCTAGCTGCTCAGACTATGGTGGAGTATGGTGTGCTGTGACCTGTGGCCTCCAATGATGGTACTTTTATTATTGAAGAGGAAGGTGATCCTAAACCACTTGCTGTACAATGCTGCAGGGACCATTAGCAGTCTGAACCTAAGTCCATTGGAGTCAACAAGAGTCTTTCCACTGACTTCCATAGACTTTGGAACAGGTGCTAAGCTTCCAATTGGACTCCTCTTTTAGGAGAACACTGTCTATATATTTCAGCTACTACCTCTGAGACAGGAGGTCAGGAAAACCCAAATAATTCTTGGAAAATATACACTTGGAATTAGCTTGGCTGCCCTCTCCCCAGTGAGATTTCATGAGAACAAGAGATATGCATCCTGAATTCAGCGTACGGGAGATGTTAGCCTTCGTGGCAAGTTTTGTGCATTAGGCAGCTATTGAATGTTCTAGAGACAAATCGCCATTAAAAGTGTGTCTTACAAGAGGACCTCGATACTCTCCATCTCTGACCTCACAGTGCCTACATATACCAGAACGAGCAACAGACACAGTGGGAGGAAGGTCAGGCAAGCAGAAAAGTGAAGGTAAAGGGGTCTAATCTCCTATCACATGTGTGAGCTCAACTCCCGTTCAGGTTAGTGGAAGTTACATATGTGCTTGGAGGAGAGAACAGACCCCAGCATACAGAAACCAAGCCTAGCGGCAGATGGCAGCTACTTTAACATTTCCATTGCCCACTGGCTTCTAGAGCTCAAGGGGACGCACAAGGTTCTGAATTAAAGGATATTGCTCGTCCTGCTGAAATACTGCCTGGGTAGAATACACTCAGACATCTTACTCTCCAAACTACTGCACAGTTATTGGGGAAAGGACCACTAAAATAAAAGCAACCACAGCACCCCTGTGAGGTAGGACAGTCAGAACAGGCAGAGAGGTTACGCGACTTGCCCAAGGCCAAAGAGGAAGCTGGTGGGAGAACAGGAATTTGAACAGGAGCTGCCAGAGCTGTGCTCAGAACATCTCTTGAGAGAAATGGGGAGCTCCCTTAGAGAGCTGTCACTACATCGACATCGAACCGCCACACACAGCTGGTCACTTGCAGGGGGTCAGGAAGGAATCCCCCCCCCCCCCCCAATGTATTCTGGGTCTCCTTCCTCTAAAGCATTGGCCATGCCTGGAGGTGAGACACTGGACAGGGTGGGCCAGGGCTCTGAGATGGCACCGAGCATTCTCTCTCTCTCTCTCTCATCTGCTTGGCTGGCTGGTTCTTGCTCACATGCTCAGGAGCGAAATGATCACAATAGGTCAGACTAGATGATCTGAATGACCTTTATGGCTTTAATCTCTAGTGGTATGGCGGATAGCGATCCATCCATCGGGGATCGATTTATCACGTCTAGTGTAGACGCGATAAATCGATCCCCGATCGCTCTGCTGTTGACTCCTGTACTCCACCGCAGCGAGGCGGAAGTGGAGTCGACGTAAGAGCGGCGGCAGTCGACCCCACGCCGTGAGGTAAGTCGACCTAAGATACGTCGACTTCAGCTACGCTATTCTCGTAGCTGAAGTTGTGTATCTTAGGTCGATTCCCCCTGCCCCCCAGGGTAGACCAGGCCTAGGACACATGTTTAGGAGCTGGTCCAAAGCCCACGAAAGTCAATGGGAGTCTTTCCATTGACTTCATTGGACTTTGGACCAGGCTTTTAGTATACTTCTACTCCCTAAGGGAGCCTTTTGCCAGTGTGCAGGGGACACGTATATATAGGCCTGCTTCAAGTATGATCTCAAAGCATCCTCAGCTATTGAAGGAGGCATCACGTATAGTTAATTCTACAGAATCAAGTGGAATCAGGTTCCCCATTACAAAGCATGGATGTAATAACCATGCCTAGAGCTCTATATGTTGTACTTACAGTAATTCAGGCTCCTGAACTAGAAAACAGGACTGGGATTTTCCCATAATTACAGAATCTTTCCCCATTAGCGGTCAGGTTGCTTTTAAAGAAATCTTCATTCTCTAAGGGCAAGACATTTGCATTTCTGGACCACAGGCTTTAAGCTTTACAGGAAAGATGGCTTCTTCGGAATCTTTGTGCCAAGATTCTCTCTCTTGGCAGCTTCTTAGTCTGTGGATTTACAGCCAGACTATTTCAAGGAGGAGCTGAGCCAAGGTTTTCAGAACTTTGCCCACCTTCCTTTCTAACGCCCGTGTGGTTTCCACACTGACACTTCAATTGCTCAAAGCAGGGACCAGTGTAGGTTTTGGAATTTTGATGAGAAGTGATCAAATCCTATTACGCTCTTGTGGCTTGCTAGCTAAAGCAAAAGACCAGCCAGGGCACTGCCTCCATTGCTTAAATAAGAATACATCCTGTGTTTATTAGCATCGCGACACACTGATTGGTCATTTACCAAGGCAGTGGCCTCCTTTTCCTTTCAGTCAGTCCTAAGGCAGTGAGCCCGCTCACTGTCCTGGCTTCACGGAGAAAAGGACAAGATCAGACAGGCAGGTTGGAAAACTGATCGTAGCTCTGCTTCGACCTTCCATCTCTGTCACATGAAGAACTCAAGGAATCCAAACAAACATTTAGTGGATCAGCACAAACCTTCTGGAGGCTGGTGGTGAAGCATGGCACACGCATCTTTCCCACCTTGCCTTCTGCTTGCATCAGAAGTTAACTTTGCTTTCTGATAAATCCTAGCTACAGCCCAGAACAAACCCACCGAGAACAGAAGAGCGCTTTGGCACACAACATTCAGCTTCCCTTCATGAAACCTCCCACTGCAAATGGAAAAGAGCTAGAGAACTAAGAATGGGCATACGACACTGCCCCATTGCACTCAAGATGAAAAGATGCACAGTCTTTCCCCCGGGACGTGAGCTGTGCTCACCGGGATTTCTGGAATAAAGCTGGATGTTGCATAGACTTGATGGAAGGCTGGCTTTCCTGGTAAGAATACTCAATAGCCTTGTTTGACGGATTGCTGGCTATTAGGACTTCAGAAAAATCTATTGCTGCAAAGGCCATTGGAAAAATGCTACTGGCCACATGGACCAAGTGCTCATTTGTAAAGAAGGCCCCTCTGTCTCTCTGTCTTCCCAAAGCTTCTCTATCTGTTTGTAAGAATGGCTCAAAACCCTCTGCATCATATCTATTCCCACCTTAACAGAAACTAAACTCTGGTTTATGAGACCAAGCTCTTGTGTTTATAAAAATGGGAGAAAAACAGTTAAAATATTTAGCACGTTAACCAGCTTTGCCTCTCTCTGCACGTGAGCAGGGGTGAAAGCACTTTGTGATTTGTCCACGGAAAAAAAACCCCACAGACTTTTTAACCACCTCCTGGCACCAATACATTGTCTATTGGTCACCGTACCAACTCCTGCATGCCTCCCCAAGCATTCGTACCAAACACAGCTCAGCACAGGATCATTTCCCGTCATCTCTACCCTGGGCTGTGTTGCCTTTTAGTTGCAAACCTTTATAAGGATGTCTCATGAATAGACAGGCAATGTAATTATATTGTTTGTTTCCCCTCCTTGCCCCTACCCCTGCTAAAATGTCACTGACTTGGACATTTGCATTGTGGAAGGGCAGCCTGGATAGAAACTGTTCTCTGAATGGGCTTTGGCAACCTTGGGTGGTATTTTTGGCTTTGGGGGTAGACAGGGACGTGGCTCTCTCAATGTATTTAATGACTTCTGCGCACACTGGTTGGCAGCCACAACCTCAAGTTCTGCCCCTCCGTCAGCTGCCGTCAAGGCTGCACCTACATGACGACTGCCCTCTTGCAAAGGCAATGCCATTTTTTTTTGGTTCAAGAAGTCCTGCTCGGTAGCATGAGCCACGTGAAGTGGGGTGGTGGTTTTAACTATTTTATAGGGGGTGGACTGCCCCTGTAAAGCCGGGGATGACAGGTGTCGGTCGTGCAGACCCTCTGCCAGCTGAACTGCCCCAGAGTCAAGCATAGATAAGATTGGCACACTGCCGCTGCCACCAGACAGCCTCTGACGAGGAAGCGAGTTGAAGGCTGGGTGGCCCAGTCCTACTGTCTGCTGTGCTGAGTCTATGCTCCCTTCTGAGTGCATCCCCAGATCTGCAATCTCACCCACAGATGCAGACTTGGGTACTGAGGATTTTAAATCTGGTTTGTTCTGTGGCACTGCACCGCTAAGTTTCTCGATACTGGGCACCTGCCCAGAAGAGTTATCCTCACTGTACTCCAACTCGGATATGTTGTCATACTGAGATACGTTAGAAGGCCGTCTACCATCCTGCAGAGGGAGAGAGAGAGTATCAAGGGCTTTCTCCATACACAAGACAGGCACTTGTACTTTCTCTGACAAGTCGCAAGGAGAAGCAAGGTTTTGTTCTGGTGCTGAGCGCGAGTCTGTACTGGGAGGCTGGTGCTGCTGCTCTGGAGGCAGCCCTGTCAGTAAATCCACTGGGAAGATGGTAGCACTGGTGTCTTCAGGACTCGAGACGTTTTGCACAGAAGTGTCTGAGGGTCTTTGTTCGGCAGGGGAAGGAAGAGACGGTGTTTGGTTTGGCAACTCCTGACCTGCTAATATATTATTGTGATTGACAGGCAGGTCTACTTGGGGGTTGTGGCTCTGGGTGGCAATGTCCCCTGCAGAGTTGTCCATGGCTGACCCTTCGGGTTGTGCTTGCTGAGGTGCCTGCAGCTGAGCTGTGTGGAGAATGGCCTGGTTTGTGTTGCCTACAGCAGGGGAGGGGCTATGTTCCTGCAGTTCCTCTTTACCACTTCCTGCACTGAGAGTCTGAGGACTCTCTTGTGAGACAGCCTCCCTGCTCACTGGTGGTGCATCCTGGCTCTCCAGGAGGGCCTGAACCTCATTCTCCTCTGGAGGAGACAGCTCCTGTGATGGGGTTTCACCAGCAACTTTCTTTGGTGACTCTACCTGATTTTCTTCTCCATGCTGGTTTTCCTCTTGGCATTGCTGGTGGCCCTTAAATGGATGCTGATGCACATCTGTTGCTGCTGCCGGCGAGGGAAGCCCATCCTGTGGCAGAGGAGGGAGCCTCTCGTTTATTGCCATGTTCGCGTTACCAACAGTTTCATTCAGATGAGCAGGGCTGTTGTTTGGAGAGGACAGCTTTGTAGCTCGGTCAGGGTCGAGGTCAGTGACAGCCTTATTCTGGCCATTCGCTGCAATGCTGGGTTTCAGTGCCACGAGATTTAGAGAAAGCTCCAGCCCCAATGGTTTCTTAGGGAATTCTTCAGGTTTTGCTATAAGGAAAAAAAAACAACACATATTAAGCTCTCTTTCAAGGTGTGCTTTAACAAGTCCAGCAAGACAGGCCATTGGGAGGGATCTGAATCATGTCGAACAAACATCCGCCCTTCAAAAGGAAAACATAGGGGAACTGAGTGGCCCAAGGTCACAGAGCCAGTCAGTGGCAGAGTGGTAACAGAACACAGGTCTCCAGTGCCCTATCAGTCTGACCACCACAGTGCTTCCCCAGGAGTGAAAAGCCTGAGCGGTTGAGAGAAGAGATCTGAGCCAGAGGATTTCCACACCTCCAGGCTGATGGGTTTATTTTATTGTTAGCACCTATTTTAACTTCAGTGATGAACCAGCTGGATAAAGGAGGCCTTTGTTAAAGATTCACATCTCCTTCCCCTTCACCTACAGTGGTAGAGCTCACAAAAGACACCCCCTGAGGTCTCCCAGAGGTCAGCCCCCAAAAGCAGGATGCACCAGACTTGTTACGGTATAAACAAGCAAAGCAGGTGGGCACTGGGAGTCAGGACTCCTGGGTTTTATTCATTGTGCAGCTCTGGGTAAGTCACTTAACCTCTTTGTCTCTGTTTAGCTGTAAAATGGACATACTTCGCTGTTCACAACTTTGTTGTGAGACTTCAGGCAAGACTGAATCTTTACACAGGACAAGATGCATGGGTCAGCATGCATCTGCACCCGTCCAGAGGCAGCCAGGCAAAGGAATGGTGCCCCATCACGGTGCCTTTCTTGGGTCTCCCTGTATTCCACAGAGAAATTCATGTGTGCTAGTTTCTTGTCAGGTGCTGCTACCTCCTCCCCCTGCCTACCTCTGTGTGTGTGTGGGGGGGGGGGGGGGGGGGGGGGGGAGGGAGAGAGAGCTCATCCCCTCCTCTATGCACACACCAGCAACCTGGGTAGCCTGTAAAGCAGAGCAGAGGGGAAGCTATCATATTCTCTTATTCCTCTGCACAAGCATGTCTGGCAAGTGACAATCTCAACCTTAAGTTTTGCAATCTTTTCTCGGAGGAGCTCAAAGTTCTTTACTGATATCAATCAATGATCATGTTCAATAATTAATTCCCTCTTACCCTATAAGAAAAGCATTTCCATTTCCATGTGTGTTTTGTGTTGTCAGCTGATCAGGGTTTATTAGTCTGATTATACACAGTCCCAAACGGGAGTTCTGATAAAAGTTAAACTGGCTCCAAACCACCCTGATTTGAGGTTGCAGAACCTGGTTCCCCTTAGCCAATCTCTAGTTACAGCCTGACACAAGAGTTCCTCAAAAGAGACTTAGAGAGAACTGCAGACTCACAGTTCAGTGCAATTATGCTGTATTCATGTACTTACCCAGGTGGGGTTTTGTAGGTTTCTAATGAGTGTTTCATTTATTTTTCAATAAGTGTTTCTACAACAGGAGCCATAGCCAACTGAGGTTCCATCTCGTGTATGATGAAGGATTTACGCTAAGGGGGCTCTATCTACCCACTCAATGCTACAACATAAAGAGGGCAATTACCATGGCAACCCCTGCACTATGTGAAACACAACATTGCCCCTGCCTGCCCTGTGAAGTGCCAGTGGCTGGGAAGTTCACACACCCAGAAAATCTGTGTAACCAAAACAATGCACGCAGACCACAGCTGCAACATCTGGCTCAATTCAAACGTGCAAAGACTCTGCAAATCAGAACAACAACAAAATACCCAGGAGGAGCAGAGTGATACAACTTGGGGTTAAAAAAATCACATTAATGACAAACGGCACATAGGGCCAGATTTTCAAAAGAGCTCAGCATGCCTGGTGCTGAGTTTTGCCGAAAAAATCCACGTATCTCCCTAGGAGCTGTTGGCCCAGGAGCTGTCTGGTCCCAGATTACTACGTTGACATAAAGCCACCATTGCTCAACTCAGTCTCTCTTTGCACCCAAGAGATCTCGAACAGAACAGAGAACCGGGGTCACACAATTGCCTCTGCAATTCAGAAGGCCACAGCAGTTAGCCTTTTCCTGCTGTTTAGAGAGAAAAGAATCCTGAAAAAATTGCATTGCTCTGGCCTTGAAAGATATGATTAGTGCTGGCACCAAGGAGTTAATTTGAACTGCTTGGCCTACCCTGGGCTGCAGTAGAAAAATTGAAATTAATGCTGCTTTCATGCTCTGCCTACCTGGGGGCGGAAGGTCAAATTTCATTTTGCGCAATTCAGTCATGGACGTTTGCAATTGTTCAATAATAATATCATCTTCATAATGCAGAGAAGCAGAAATTCTCTCCTGCAGGAATTCCCGTAAGTCCTCCAGGGACATCTTCAGTAAGCGTTCTAGTGGATAGCATAAAACACAGCAAAATGTGAGAACAACATGGTATCTCAATGAGAGAGAGAGAGAGAGAGAGGGGGGTGAGAGAGTGTGTGTGTGTGTGTGTGAGTGAGTGTGTGTGAGAGAGAGAGAGATCCAGACAGTGTTTCTACTGGATCAGCAGTTTTAACTATCGGTACAGGACATTTCTTTTACATTTAAGTTACAATGTGGGGCAGAAGAAACAATGCATGGCTTCCTTTTTCCATGTGTTTTTCTGCCTGGTATTTATGGTTCTCTCAAGTCGATCTCTAGTCCCAATCCTGCAAACATTTATGTCTGCATGTAACTTTACTCAGGTGAGTAGTTCTCATGGACTTCAATGGGATCACTGAATGAGTAAGATTATGCAGGTGCATAAATGTTTCCAGGTTCAGGGCCTTGGTTCAGTGACAGAATGTGTCTGACTGTTCCTGAATGTTTCTTTTACACCTCTAGGGGGAGTAAAGCTGCACGTTACAGACACAACAGATTAATGGTGGATAGTGCAACCTGAGGTTGCTCAGCACAGACATTCAGAATTGGTGCTTCACACTCTTCCCATATCTAATATATGATTTCACAGCCTTCTGTGATGGAGAGCAGCCACTGCCATTAGCCACCTGTCCCACTGCATTGTTCATCAAGGCTTATTTGTCCAGTCTTCCTCTCTTTTTCTTTACATACATTACTTCACATGCACAAACCAGTCCACATGGAGACTTAGTGCACAGCAAGCGGAAGTGTAAATCTACCCTGCGTGCCTGCCATGCACTAGCTGGCTGAGCGGACCCTGCTACTGCACACTAAAAAGTTCCACAGTGCACTTGGATCTACCGCTAAGATTTCTTTCTTGGTAAGACTTTTAAACAATTATAGGAAGTTTAGGATGGATGGAGATAAATAGCACTCACCCACTTATAAATGCACCTACCCTGCTAATGTACTAATGGTATCCATGTGATGGATGGATGCATGGTTACCATGCACTTTTGACCATTACACCTGCACTCCGTCCACTAATCCATCTCTTCAGGCTTTATTCAAACATTCCAAACCTCAGAGCAGCTTCAAACCCCTGCATTTGTCCTGTTCCCTCTAAAAAAGATGCACTGGCCAAAGCCTTCAATGAGCAATATTCACTACTGCCCAGTGACAGGTTTAGGAGCTGACCTCTCTGTCCTGTGACTGGTATGGCTACAAAGGAGAGCCTTGTACCACTGGAAAGAGGAGATGCTGAGTTTTCCAATAAGACCAGCAGGGCCCCGAAGTCCTGAAATATCTCACTGTAAGGCAGTGACATTTTTATGTAAATAAAAGCAATTTCAGGTCATTTTTAGAAGTATTTTTATAAATACATTATTGTATTGCTCTCTCCTCTGAGCCTTGTTTAGTTGGACTAAGGAACATTACTTTGCAGAAGAAGAGATGCAAATAAAACAAAATAGTCCCACTAACATTTTTAAATGTGCTCTAAAACACTCTTAAAATAGTTTTTCTGTAAAGCATGTTATACATGTATACAATACAGTACGTGGCGTCAGAAAGCGCATTTTGCAATGTTTACAGTTCTGTAGATTGGGCCCAGGATTGCAGCATGGTGGGGGACTTTTTTTTTTTTAAGACTTTGGATGTTTCAGTGCAGGAACTGTGCCTTCTTTGGTGTATGTACAGCACCTAGCGCTAACAGAACCAAGCAATCAACCACAAAGCATTCATCTCCAATGCCAATGTGCGCTGAGCAAGGCAGGGCTCCTATAGGACATACTGCCCTGGTCCACTGAGGGGAATTTCCCAGTGGCTGATGGAAGTCCTGCAGCAGAGGACGCCCTGAGTAATCTCTCTTGTCTCCCTCAGTATACTGAGCAGGTGGGATTTGGCCCTTGGGGAGTAGATGTGAAAAGGCCAATGTGCCTTTTTTGAGGGCAAAGGCATAGTTCCCCTCTGGCGTTAAAGAGTCAAACATGGGACTGTGTGTAGTAATTTGCTTTCTCTGAAATCCGGGTGAGGCCTGAAACGGCACCAGTCTGTACTGCCCAGTAGGGGTTGTATGATATCATACATGTGTAAATCCAACGATACAGAGAAAAAAGCCAAACAGCCAACTGTGGGGCACCATCAGGCTAACTTCAGACATGGTGTAAATGGACACAGCTTCAGGAGATGCATCCATTTTGGTCAGATCTGTATCTTGGTCCAATTAAAGTAAAAGAAAAACTTTCAAACCAATGCTGGGCTTGTCTCTCCCTAAGCCCTTCCTGACTAAGGAGGTTAAATCTAAACCCCAGGCTCTAATGATAGGATCATCCCGGCTGAATGGGGAAGTCGAGCAAGTCTGCTGAGCCGCTTACTTTTGTGCAGCTTCAGGATGGTGTACGCCATAGCTGTCAGAACCCGTTCTCCTTCCAGGATGTAGATATCCCACAACCGCAAGGTGAGCGTGAAGGGAGTCTGTTTACAAAAAGAAGCAGGTTAGATGATGTGATGATTTGGGGAATCTGCCTGTAAAACGTATGGATTCTGGGTGAGATTATGAACCCTTTCCCTGTAAGTATCTATACTAATCTGCCGATTTCATCTGAGGCTCGTTGGCTTCTCTCTGTGCTTTTGCCTTTATGCTGGATCGAAATTCTAAAGGCGGGTGACAAAAGGCTAACAAAAGAGGGTCACTGACTTAACATTACTTGACATGGAACAGCACTAAACAACAGACTGCCTCCCGACCAGGAGAAGGGATTTATCAGGGGAGAGCTCACCTAGCAACAAAGTTACCCATAACACACTGTGGTCCCCTATTGAGGCTGACCAGGGAGTCACCTGATGTAGGAGACAGGAAGGTGATAAAGGGCAGAAGCTGGTCTATTTGCTCGCTCTCTTTAGCCATTTTTCACCAGCTGAAGATGAGTGAAGCTGCTTTGGGAGCTGGGTGAGGCAAAGCAGGGGAGATCCCACCTACATGAACACACAGTGTGAGCTAGAGCGAGAGGAAATGCATGTAGGATGTATTATTTTTGTATGGATCTGTGTATTTCTCATGCAATTTAGTAAAGAGCAACAGCACTGTAGAACTCTGTGCAGTGTGTGTTATATGCTACAACTACCATGGGGCCTGTGAGTTAAATTGTATCTCTGAAGGCTCACCCCTTTGGTGGGATTCTGGGAGCGGTTGCGTTTAAATGACAGGGGCAGTCTGAGGAGTCAGCACTGGTTGCGAGGGTTAGGCAGCGGGGCTGCCTGGTTGCAGCTCTCAGGGTTGTGTGGTGCTAGGCAGAGGGTCTGCACTCAAAGAGCATCAAGGGACCCCAAGACTGGGGCAGTGCCTGGAATCTGTTCAGACTTGAGGCTTAAAACACCAGGGGATCCAGATGCTGGATTCCCGTCCCAGCACTGTGGTGGTCTGCCAGCAAGGGGAATTGGACACGATCTGTAACAGATGGCATGGGTATTTTGCCCCAGGGCTATTCTAGCTGGATTGATCTGCTCAGGAACGACAGTGCATAGAATGTGCCATAAACCTTCCAATTAACACCCCAACATAGCACAGAGAGATGCTTTGTTTTCAGGACCGATTTAGGGTTATGCGTGTATTATGAGCTACAATTCTGGTTTTAAAACAATTGTCCACATGCTTGGCTGGCCAGAGAGTTGCAATTATGACAGATACAACGTTCCTTCTTTGGGACCGTAAGGTGAAAAAAATTCAATCTAAGCCAACTTGAAAATGGATTCCCTACCTTGAAAAGTCGTTACTATATTTAGTTTTGCAAGTATGTGAAAGCTTTGCTATTTTCAAGGCTGGTCATGAGAATCAGCAGAACAGACCATGGCCTGTTTAATTGGATGATCCTGGGCCTGTCTGTCTAGTATATTAAGGCAGCTTTGCACTGCTCTGGTGGCACAAAGCTGCCCTCAAGCCAGCAGTGTGGGAATTCCACCAGTGTAGGGGAATCTTTTGTGGCACACAGCCACTGAAGTGGCTCCTTTGCCGCTCCCTGCGGCTATGACCATAGAAGTCTGGTTGGAGAAAAGAAGTGGAGCAGGCTCCCTTACACTCATTTGATTCCTGCCTGCTGGAATATCCTGTAGGGGCCATTGGCAGCTGCTCTATGCCAGCAGCCAGACCAATTTAAACAGAAGTGGCTTGACTGTCAGAGGTATTGAGCAACCTCATTTCCCAGTGAAGTCAGTGAGAACTGCAGGTGGCTTAACAACTTAGACAATTGGGCCATTTCTGTTGTGATATCTAATTATGGACTCATGAGCCTACATTTATTTGCTGAAGTTTAAAAATTTTGGCCACAGCAGTTAATTTAATTCAGAGTACATGAACTTTACATGACTATACTATACTGCCTTCAATCCAAAGATCTCAAAGTCCTTTACAAGTGTAATGAACTCACCCTACTGAGGTAGGTATTATCCTTTTTATAAAGCTGGGGAAACAGATGCTCAGTGAGGGTAAGTGATTTAGCAGATTTGTTGCAGAGCCAAGGAAAATAAAAATCTGACTCCCATGCCTATACTTTTGCCCTAAAACCATCTTTCCATCTATTATTCATGGTGTGACCGTCTCAGTGGCATGCAGTTATTTTAAGCCTATCTCCTGCCGGGTATATGCTTTATGAAAATATGCAAAATATCTTGGCCTCTAAAATATTCATAGAATCTTATTAGAAAAATATGTAAAAATTCCCAGATGCACTAGAGAAAATCAACTCTGGATCCAGATTGCCAAGTAGAAGCTCTCCCAGGAACAGCCCTCACCCGGTCAATGAAGCACTGCAGGAACCACTTGGTTGTGTAAATCCCTGTTGTCATCTGCTCCTTGTCCTAGAATGAGACAGCAAGCAAAGAGATGTTTACTTCACTGGACCGGCTGCTGGAGCCTTGTGTAAATCTCATGGTTTTTTAATACTGATTTCTGGCCGAGGTCCTGGAAATGGTTTGTCAGGCTCTGGATGGGTCTATGAAGCGTCATCTCATCTGAAATGTGTCTCCTGTCCCTACTTAAATGACAGTAAGACCAACCCAAACCCTTGCCTGAACCTGAGCCTCACTGTAGTTACATTTGTACCCCTGGTTTCAGCTGCTCCAGATATGCTTAGCCCCATACACGTGCCAACATGCCACAGAAAAGACATTTGTGCTAGAGGGTTTTCTGGCCCAATTTCCAGACAAGAGAGGTCTGCAAAAAAAAGTTCAGGCAACAGAAACACAAATGAGTCCGATTAATAACATTGTTTTTACACCTCTTCCATTCAAGGATCTCAGAGTGCTATGAGCAAAGGCTGAAGGAACTGGGTATGTTTAGTTCGGAAAAGAGAAGAGGGGGAACATGATAGCGGTCTTCTGATACTTGAAAGGCTGCGATAAAAAAAAAAATGTAGAAAAGTTGTTCTCTTTTGCCGCAGAGGGCAGGACAAGAGGCAATGGGTTCAAACTACAGCATAGCAGATTTAGATTAAATCTCCAGAAAAACTTCCTAACTGTAAGAACAGCAGGGCAATGGAACAGACACCTTGGGAGGTTGTGGAAGCTCCTTCACTGGTGGTTTTCAAAAGGAGGCTGGACAGCCACCTGTCATGGATGGTTTAGACACAACAAACCCTGCAGCTTGGCAGGGGGTTAGACTAGTTGACCCTTGAGGCCCCTTCTAACCCTGTGGTTCTGTGATTCAAACAATCAAGCCTCACGATGCTCACCTGACATAGGCAAGAAGAGAAGCATCCTATAATAATTCTAGACATGCTTACAGACAAAATTGTTTGTTACACCACATTCAAATAACAAGCTCCAAACAAGCCCTTACTTGCTGAGCTAAAGGAGACACTTAACTAGTTGTACTGGTGTCTGCAGGCACTAGGAGACAAGTTCCCACATGCTTGAGCAGGTTGGACACTATCTAGTAGAGGGCAATGGCACACAGACAGGTGTGTTCGTGGCTATGTGAATTTTTGGATCCTTCTCTAAATGGGCCTTTTGGAGATTTGCTATCACTAGTTTCAAGCCTGCTCTTCTTCTGCTTCCCCCTCACTCTGGTGCTAGGTGAAAAATTGCAGTGTGCGCCTCACTGGAGGGATGATGTGCAACACATGCACCTGTATGAAAACAACAGGAGCACTGCTGTGGTATCAGAAAAGAGAAACTGAGGGAGGAGCACCAGAAACAAGGGGGGGAGGGGGAACACCTCTAGAACTACCCCCCGTCAGCTGCACTCACCACCAGTCCAGCTGGGATTCTAGGGGTGCCAGCTACCTTCTCTTTTCCAGCAAACTCCTTTTTTGCCAAGCAAGAAACTCCCTGTATCCCTCCAGAGTCTCTTCAGCTTCCACCTCCACTCTGTTACCTTCACTTTCCAAATGGTTAGATATTATTTAACTGGACAGATCAGCCAGAAACAAGGATATAAATCTTACTATTAAGGGTATGTCTACACTACCCGCCGGATTGATGGGTAGTGATCGATTTATTGGGGATCGATGTATCGCGTCTCGTCTAGATGCAATACATCGATCCCCGAATGCACTCCCCGTCAACTCCGGAACTCCACCAGGGCGAGAGGCGGAAGCGGAGTCGACGGGGGAGCGGCGGCTGTCGATCCCACGCCGCGAGGACGCAAAGTAAGTCAATCTCAGTCGATCTAAGATACGCAACTTCAGCTACGAGAATAGCATAGCTGAAGTTACGTATCTTAGATCGATCCCCCCCCCCCCAAGTGTAGACCAGGCCTAAGTGTTCAAACATGAATTAGCTCAAGAAAGTTTATTGACAATAGCACCTGGTATGATCACATTAAGCAGGGGGGTGTATTGTCAAAGCACAGACATGGGCCCCTCTTCTAACAGCAAAGGACTGTACTTTTCCATACCCCATTTTGCAGAGGCATAGCATGCTCTCCATTCAGGAAAATATGGTTACTAGCTCGTGGAGTCACTCAAATGCAGGTATTTTTGTTCCTATTGGCTGGAATGCAGCGTTCCTTCTCCCGCCACCGTCTCTTTCACAACAGCAGTAATTAAGTGAAAAACTAGCCCTACTCTGTTACATTTCTACCGCAGGGGTGGGCTCATCTGCAGCACCAAGCAAAAGCTATTTCAGATGACGACAATATAAACAGCTTTTCCTGGAGATATTGCCACCAAGCCCCGCTAGGAATGCAGGGGTTAAGCAAACCCGACTTATGCAAATCCGCACTTATGGAAAAAGTTCCGTAAGCTAGAAATAGGAGGGTTCTTTTTGTTTTTGGCGTAATGGTCCGGCATACTTTTCCAACTTATGCAAAATTCGAGTTACGCAAGGCGTTCCAGAACGGAAGCTTGTGTAAGTCGGGGAGCGTCTGTACCCAAAATATGAAACACATGCAGAAAAGGAGGAGTGAGTGTCACAAAATAGATGGCTAGTTGCTAGGTCTCAGTCCCATACTGCAGATGCTATTCCAGCCAACAAATGGCGTTGTACCATCTGCTGGAGACAAAAACAGTTGGAGTTGCTGAGCCAGCAAACTGAATAACACTGCATCAGTTCTAATGTGTCCCTCTGCTGGAAGGAAGGAAACGTCCCCATTCAGCAGGACTGGTGTGGGAGAACGTTAAATGAAAACAAATGTGCAGCATGGAGCCAAACTGTAAGGGGAAAGCTCTGGGCTTTCCAGCATCTGTAATGCAAGAAGATGATAATACCCTCCAGGTTTTATGGCCAGCATGACATAGCAATGCCCGGTTAGTGCATGAAATAACTCCGTTCACACATGCCCTGGATACATTTTCCTGCCTTTTCTAGGAAAGTCTCCAGATTTTAAAATCTCTCGCACAAATGCTGGTGGCCAGCCACAAAACCTGAACTGTTCACTTCAGAAATATTTAGGAGACAAATGAGGCAGGTATTTAGCTAACTCTTCAGTGGCGGAAGCAGTTGTATGATTAGCTGTACATTAGGGTAGAGGTGTATTTAACAGAACAAGTTAACATTAAAGCAATTAATGTAAACATGACATGAGTATGGGAAGATGGTTGACAAAAAGATACCATGTGCTTCTTCAGCTTCGGAAATAGTTTACTTAAAATCTGCTCATGATGGGCCTGAAATCTCTGCAGCTTTGGGAACCCGGGAATGAAAAACCCTTGAAAAGAAAAATATACAGAAGCAATTAGAGACAAACCTAAAAGTAATGACAGATGTAGACTGGGGGGCTGATTTTCCAAGATGCTGAACATCCACATCCCCCATTGACTTCAAGTGGAGCTGAGGATGCTCTACAAATCAGGCCTTAATGGCCTTTTGTCTTGCATGGCCTAGGTTCTACCCCTTTTATTTGGGCTGCGTCCAAAACTCTGCAACATACCCTACTGTGGCGTTCAATGCTGGTTCTTCTGAAACTGCTCCTCCACAGCAGACCAGTCAAACCTTAAGCACGCCATTACAATCTGGGCCTGATCCAGAGCCCACTGAAGCCAATGTAAAGGCTGCCATGGACTTTGGATCAGGTCCTTTATTTGCATGACAAGGTCTGCTCAGCAGTACATCACCTCTCTGGGACTAGAACAGACTTCAACAGTGGTAAACCGGTGCCATACAATGGGAGCACAACACGAGCTTATAATCGCTATAATTTAGTGGCAGACACATTTTAACCCAGATGTTGAAGAAAACTACAATAAAGTTAGAGGGTAGTTCTATCTTCCGTGCATGCCCTCTGCTTCTTATATGCCAAGAGCTTTTTTTTTTTTTTTTTTTTAAGCAAAATATGTGGTGGTTTTATGACAGTATAAATAAAAGCAAGAAGCATTTGAGCAACATCTTTCAACGCTCCCTCACTATGATCTTCTGTAGCTATTAAATTACACAAACCACCCTTCTAATTAAAAAAAATCTCTGCACAGAGACTTAAAACCCCCCCACTTCTTCAGTTTAAAAATCAGAATAAAATGAAAGGAGCTTTACTGTGGTTGGTGTAAAATAGTACACCACATTTCCCAGAACACGTCTGGACAAATGCATTAGGGAATGTATTCTATAGTGTGTTTAAAGCAGCCCACTATGTATGGTTCCTACGGGTAAGTCTACACTAGACATTATTTTTAAACCTAGAGTTAACTGATTGTCATGAAACGTTTGTATGCTGGAACACACTAGCTTTTACAAATGTGTTAATTACCTTGCATCAAGAAAGTCCAGTGCAGATAAACCCCAAGTTTTTCAATTATAAACTAGTCAGCATGCAAGGGCCAAATCTGGCTCCATACTTCGATCATTTTATACATAATAAAGCCTTTAAACATGTTTCAGACAATCAGGGGACAAGAGCAGGAAGTGGGTGGAGTACACATCTGACGGCTGATTTCCTCTTGCTGACCAAAGAAGCAGCAGCATGAAGACTAATCAACCACCATGTGAAGTCTACAGGAATGGTTGCAGTTCTGCTTTTCTGCTAAGGCTTACCATGCATTGCATGTCTCTGATTGGTCAGTAGTTGTGCCAGTGCCCAAAAGGCATCCTCTTCATTTAAATACATCAGCAGGATGGCAGCAATCTGACTCATCCCTTGGCAGTAGCTCACTTCCTGGAAGGGACAAGCAGCACATACATGTTTACATGACACTAATTCTTAAACATATTGGGCTGTGCACAGGTACACGTGACTTCCACCGTTTTCATTAGGCAAGTGCACAGCTTTGTTTAAAAACATCTAGATGTCAGTGCTTTCAACAGGTAAGGATACCTGTGTCTCTAAAGATACACTCTCGGGCAGTGGTTTTCAATCTTTTTTCATTTGCAGATCCCTAAAAATTTTCAAATGGAGGTGAGGACCCCTTTGGAAATTCAACCTGTGGTTTGCAAACCCCTGCCATAGAAGTCTTAGACTGAAAACTAAGTGAACAGAATTCAACTATAAATGTTGCACATGCTTGGCACAGCATTTGATGCAGCGTGAGAAAGGGCGCTAAACTGTGGGCGTCTATGGTAACGACAATACTTCTGGGTTTTGACCTGCAGGTGGGAGTATTCACATACGTTTGTTTGACCAGACAAACGGAATGCCTTTTCTGGCATCTGAAACTTTATTTTCACAAGTCACCTTTTGCGGACTCCTTTAAACACCATATGCGGATCCCCAGGACTACAGGTTGAAAGCCACTGCTTTAGGGATAGGATTTTCAAAAGCAACCTGAGTGATCCAGGAGAACAAATCCCACTGACTTTCAATGGGGCTTGTGCACCTCAATCACTTAGATGCTTCTGAAAATCCCACCTGTGCATTCCCTTCCCACTGTTCAAGGGCTGTTTTTACTCTGTTTATTCTCAGATTCACAGCTCCCACAGGATACTGCATTATGCTTCTACTGTTCAACTAAGCCAGCCCCATGGACTGAACATCAGCTGCTATTCAGTCTCTGGCTCTGTCCATACTGTGGTTAAACTCATGATTGCAGCAGCTACATCTAAGAATGACTGGGAAGAGGCCAAGGACTAACAGCCAGTGACTTTCAATAGGACTTAGATGCCTAACTGCTACTTGGGCCTTTGAAAAAATCTCTCCCTCAAGTCTATCATTTAATTGCTAGATAGCTCCTTGTGAACTTCTACGCCAGATCTCTATTAGATCAAACAGTCAATCATTTAGGACACCACTTGATATCAGTGGATTCTGCACCAAGTCCTTAGTGTCAGCTTAACATCTATGGAGACTGAAGTCCCCTATTCATCCATAGCCCAGGTTCCACAGCAAGTAAAGCAGCAGCAGTTTCCCCATGCCTCCTCTAGCTTAGACCTGGAAAGTCTCCCTTGAGAGGTGAGAGGGTAGATCAGGCTCCATGGTATCTTTGCTGAGAAAACTAGCCAGGCTGCCAATTATGTGTGGGAGAGAGATGGACACTTGCCTTTGGGAACTGAACGGAGAGAGTGCTACGTTCATTTCACATAGGCCTCTGCACATCATCAAATGTTACAACTTCCAGTCACTAGCTGCCTGAATTGGCACCAGTGACCTAGAGATGAAAGAAAGTTTAGTTGGGATGAATTTGATGCATTTTAGTGTCCAAGGACAATCCATGTTGTCACTACAGAAATTCCCACTACATAAGTAGGCTTATACTTGGTTTACAAAACTCTGCTTTGCTATCCCAGGGCTGGTCCCACGACACCCAGAAAATGAAAACCCTACTGTACTCTACTGTATCTTTATGAGCAGAGAGTGCTCTTTGTGACAAATTGCCTGATGGGTCTGTAACACGGGGATATACCCACTAGTTCAATGCCTCGAATCTCATTTTTTATGCTGTGGGAGCTAAGGAAACGTGAACCTGAACTACAAAAATTCAGTCACAAATAATGTTACAGCTATTTCAGGAAATACTGTATAGGATGATAAACAGTGTATTGCTCAGATGCTGTTTGGGGTTCCCTTCAACATGCTAGTCCTAAAAATACAAAGGGAAATTCAGCAGTACCCTAAGTATGCTTGGGGTAGGGGAATGACTGTTTTTTGTCTACAAGTCCACTATGCCAATCTAGATCTTCTGGGTTAACTGTCCTCCACTGGCAGATGGAGACAGTTAATTTCTGTAGTTCATTTACACATACTGTCCTCTAAACCCGTCAGCTGAAAATGATTAACACACTGTAAGAAGTTACGGTCTTCAACCATGAGGATACCACTAAACACAGGGATAGAAATCACGAGAAAAAACAGATAGATACTCTCTTTGGACAGTAGGCCAGACATCCAGGATAATTGTTCAGGGGAAGAAAAAAAAAAAGATTTCGGTAAAGGGCAGTTTATCTTCCTGTGTTAAGCTCCATCCCAAGCAAACCTTCAGGATATCACAGGCAGTTGGAATTATGCATGGGAATAAAACGGCTGTTTGAAGAACCCACGACCTACTGTATATGTGGCTTCTGAAGATAACTAACTTGGTTTTCCTCCATGTTTACTGTCAAAGATGCACCATTGGAGCTCTGTATACAATCATCTGGCCTTCCAATTAAACACTTGATGGAAGATGAACTGTGCAAGTCAAGAAAGAGGTCAACTCAGGAGTGCTCACTTTTAGCTGGATCTACTTACTGTGTTGTAAACAGAGTATGCTGAAAGGACATGGAACAACGCTTGCTGCCTAGGTAGAAAGAGAGGACATAAAGATTTGATAGTCTGAGGAGCTAATCTTGCACTTCAACAAGTATTTCACAAAAAGCAAAAGGTGCATTTTACCGTAGCTTCTGCAAGTCCCTCTGCTGAAACAATGCAAAACTCAGAGAATTACACCAGGTACACATTACACCTCTTATGGTAACAGGGCTTGCCTCTCTTCCCCCAATGGAGAAATACCACCAGAACAACGAAACAGGGCTAAACTATGCCATCAAACCAACAGCTCTATTAAGAAGACATGCACAAATATATAGTCTTCAGCACCCTCCTATCCATTTTTTTAAGCAGTCCAGTTAGGCTATAAAACTCAGAAAAACACTACCATCTTGATTTATTATGAGATATTTCCTCTCACACCTTCAGTGTTGGCTAAAGAAGAACTAGGGTATAAATATACAGTGCAACTAGTAGAAGCTTAGCAATATGACTCCCATCAACACTAGTGGGTGCTCTACAGCTAAAATCCCTTCACTCCCAGCCTCACCCAAATGTGTGGAAAATGTCACTCCTTAATGTTGTCAGTGTTCCTGCATAACTGCCTCAGAAACAGCACAAATATTATTCTGTGCAACCAGGCAGGAATGTGTATGTGTGTCAATAAGTAGATTATTCAGTATTGTAGCCGGGTCAGTCCCAGGATATTAGAGAGACCAGGTGGGTGAGGTAACTCACCCAGTTTAAGCTTAATAAGTAGCGGACAGATATGTAAAATGCCAGTTCATCAGTTGCTGTGTAGCAACTTCAGCGACTGCACCTACCAAAGGTTTATATTTTCCTTCCATGAATGCAGCTATTTCTTTTCCCCTTTGGGAGGCAGGGGAGCCCTGTATCCTTGCTGGAGCCCTGAAGAAGTATCCATTTTCCCCCCCACTTTAACTCCCTGGTTTCTTTAGGTTCTGTATTGCAGCCTGGAGTCTCCTAGCTAAGGACTAGCAGTCACAGAAGAAGAGGCACTGACTGGGCATAGAGACCAAGCAGCCCTCTCACCACTAGACATGGCCCGTCCAAGTCAGAGGTGTGCTGACGGAGGGACAATGCTGCTGAACGTGTACCACCTGTTAGGAAGCCTGCACTTCAGCCCCTGGGGCTATCAAACTGATACCTTTGTGGTGGTCAGTCAAGGGATCGGACAGAGAATAAAACAGATTCCCAATTATGGACAGTTTGGAACCATGTATCCAATACTCACTTAACTCCATAGCGATCCCGGAACATGATGTGGTTTCGAAAGGTGCGGTTGACATCTAAGTCTATCTGCTTGATTTCTGATGAGAAGCTCTTGGCTTGTTCTTTCATTTTCTGGATGGAAGTAAGGGACAGAGAAAGGAAAACCATTAAACAGCCACATATATCACCTCTAGATATAGAACATTTCAAGAGAAGAGACCTCTTCATTCCAGAGAGGGAGCTCAGAACCATCAGCCAGCCTGTAACTCTTCGGTATTTAACGATAACAAAGCAACAACAGAATGAGAGAAATACATGCAGACTTGGAGAGTGAGCACAAAAATGCAGCCTGTCTATGGATTACTAGTCTAGCTTCCTCCCCAGCATTTTTATGAGGCTGGGAGAAAGGGAAAAAACCCTCAGGAACATTTCCATATGTCTTTCTCAATGATACTTCACTCGTAACTGTCTGAAATGAATGAACCTGAAATGCTGCCTAAGTGAAATCAAGAAGCTGAGATTTTAACAAGGTCTGGTCCCTCCATTTCTGATTCCGTTATTATGGAAAAAGTGTGGAAGTGGGAATGTGGACCTGCCTAGCAGACATGGACGAGAGACATCTTCTGCCTGTTAGTTTGCCATTGAGAGCAATGAGTCTGAAGCCACTTAACCCTCTCAGTGCCGTCATATGTGCCAGGTACATGCAGACACTGTTCTCATTTCTGTTCAAGAGCACACCAGAAACATATAGAAAATGTGCTAATCTGTGCAGAGGGACACAATCAGGTACACCCTGAAGTGTTGTTCATAGGAATTTCTATTAAATAAATCCCACCACCGAGACCTAATGTGCACGGGCAGTGCAGCGAGGCTTGTGCACTACTTTCCTTTAAAGGTTTCTTTATTATTGAATTATCCCAGAGAAAAGATTAAGCGGCACACTCATCACTGAAATCTAGAATAAAGCCCCTACCACTACCACCAATGCCAAATCTGAGCTCCTGAACATTAAAGATTACTATTGTGAAAGTAGAATGAATTATATTGTAAAAATAGAATGGAATAAAGAAATGCTGTATGTACCTTTAAGCAGAAATAAGGAATGTTGAAATACAGGCGTCAGGAAAAGAAACATTAAGGCATAAAACAATGAGTCCACTTAAGCTAATGGTGGAACATTAACCAGAGATCTGTAAAAGTTAGTAAGGAAATTGAATATGTATGTCTAGCCTCAGGTAAACTTGTCAGTTCTGCTTTCTTTGTCCTCTTGTTAAGTTTGCGCCCTTTTTATGTGTATAAAATAAGGTAGTGTGGGTCTTGCATGGTGCTCACATTATCTGAGTGTATTAGCAGAGCGCTGTGCTAATAAACAGAGTGGTCTAACAAATTGTGAGTCCTGAATCTAACTTTGACACTATCAAGGGACTACGTCAGTAGGTTTTTAGAATGGATTGTTTCTACTCCGATCTCTGACGCGTACACCATGATCCAGTGGATCGATGGTTGCCTATGAAGCTCTTCAGGGCAGAGATCGTGTTATATTTTGTCTCGTAAAGCACCGAGATGGCTGTTCGTGCTTAGAAAAATAATACATATTAATACATAGCTCATAGACCAATAGCAGAAACCCCTAGGTATTCTTAGCCTAGATGCTGTGCAGTGCAAATTTTTATGGTTTGATTGCTAATTACAATTTCCCTCCTCCCCAGAGAAACAAAACCATCTTAAGCCTATTAACCCCTCCTGGGGCTTTTTTTGAGTAGAGATTACACTGAGCCTTGAAGAGGGGTTCTGGCTTGTCCACTAGGGATGGGGCCAAGACTAGTTAACTGGTACAGTTAGGAATAAAAGTTAAATACATAGCAAGAGTCCCTCTTTGCAAAGAGATTTGCTGGCTTATTCTCTAAGCCACATTCACTGAAAAGAAAGATGGCATTGACTAAAAGGATTGATGCCTGCTAATGCTCAGGGCCCATCGTATTTGAAGGAAATCAAACCACTACTATATGCTCACCTCACCCTAATACAGGATCCTTGCTCAAGGCAAAAACCCCTCCGGCCCTTAACAATCATGCCCCACGGAAGAATTACTTACCAGCCCCAAAGGTGGCACTCAGTTTAAGTGTGTGCATGCAAGTAAGAATCACCATGCTGTAGATAAGCATCTGAATTCATTTATATCCCTTAGATACCACTGGCAACCACATAATTGTCCTTTTGTTCTTTAAGCCCCTGAGACTATTTAGTGAATGAAATGTTCTGCCACCGAGTTTTGGAGCAGCCTGAAATGTAACTGCAGGTTAGAGTGCACACGACTGAACAATGATGCCACACTGGAGCCCAGCACGAGGCTCCTCGTTAACCTACAGGCGGGAAGCCTCGAGTATCAGTAACAGATACACAGACGGATGGTAGGGAACCACTGCTTTAAAGATGTTTGTGGATCCAATTTATAGTATCCGTAGGTTGCCATTTCCCCTAAAGCTGCCACATCAATTTGAGTTTCGGCTAGAAGAGCCCATCACACCCAGAGCTGGCTTCAGATTCATAACTGACTAGCAGCCCTGATTTGCCTAACAGCAACTCAGGCACTGGCTGAATAGCATGTGGGTTTTCCATCCTCCACAGAAAATGCTCAGAGGCGATTGTGACCTTTACATATTGGGGCTTGTAGCAGTCTCATTAACTCTGAACTTGTCACTGGGTTTGTGAAGGAGACACTGAAACTAGGGCCCATACAGAGTTATTGCCTGTACAAGCTAAGGGAGAATGAAGGGAAGGGAGCAGTAAAATGTGACGCTTAGGAGTAGTTTAGTTTTCTAGCATTAATACTACAAATATCCTTTCTTGCACCCTATGGCTTCTTACATGTTACAAGGAAGCAGGCTACATGAGGCACCCTTACTACGTACACTAGGGCACTTTGGTTCAAGTTTATTAACCTCCTGCAGGTAGCTCACTCACTAAAGGAACAAAGTAACTCCAATGTAATCAATGTTTCCTATTAGCACAAAAAAACATTTCAATCTCCACTGACTGGGGAGTCCCTTAAGAGGCCACAAAAGAACTAAGAGCTGACTCCAGAGCCACCCTTAGCAATGATTCTGACCTGCTAAAACAAACCCCCTTTCACACCCACTCATGTATAATTACGAGCTGAATGCACTTGCCCAGAGACGGCGCCTGTTCTAAGGAGCACCCTGTGCTCAGTGAACAGCGCTGCCCATGGTACAGTATTTAGTATGCGAAGCAATCCTAAAGTCAAGAACAACAAAGCCACTAGCATGTAAAAGAACAAAGTCACAACATCTTGGGATTTGAATGGCAGATACACCTCTACACCGATATAATGCTGTCCTTGGAAGCCAAAACATCTTACCGCGTTATATCGAACTTGCTTTGATCCGCCGGAGTGCGCAGCCCCGTCCCCCCGGAGCACTGCTTTACCGTGTTATATCTGAATTTGTGTTATATCGGGTCATAGGTGTACCTTGCATGAGGCCCTGAGCTACTGTTTCAATCATGAAGGTTGAATCATAGAGTATCAGGGTTGGAAGGGACCTCAGGAGGTCATCTAGTCCAACCCCCTGCTCAAAGCAGGACCAATCCCCAGACAGATTTTTGCCCCAAATCCCTAAATGGCACTCTCAAGGATTGAACTCACAACCCTGGGTTTATCAGGCCAATGCTCCAACCACTGAGCTATCTTTCCCCCCAGTAGCTCTACAGACTACAAGCAATGGGACTAGGTTTTCATTTTCAAGTAATTTGTGGACTTCTGAAGCTGGCTTGTTCTGCTCAGCTGCACTCTGTTGTTGAGCCCTGCGGATGTTTAAGCAGACAGAAGAATAGATGCCACTAGCTAGAAGTACCGACTGTAAAACCAACTTGACTAGTCCCATTTCATAAAGCTTTTAAAAACAACTGGCAAAAGTTGACAGATCTGCACTGCTTTCTTCTGGCAAACTCCCACTTTTCCTCCCCTCCTGCAGCTTTAAAGCCATCCTATTGGGGGATAGAAACTTGATGGCAAAAGATGCATGGGAGCACAGGAGGCAGGTAGAATAGGTCAGAGGAGGCTCTGCTTCCCCTGGCACTGCCACTGCCTCCAGACACCTGGTTGCGAGTTTGGTGGGGGATGTTTTTGCTTTATTATGCCCCATGCAAGTTCCGGGGCAACTGAGGCAGTTTGTGCTATTCAGCTTCCTGGGTTCATCAGTAATCTCCCTGGACTCCAGGGAGATCACTGATGAACCCAGGAAGCGGAGTAGCAAATACCGCCTCCTCAGACACCCCGGAACCCGCATGGGGCATATCAAAAGCTCAGGTTCTTCTTTGGGAAGAGACACTGTCACACTGTGGCTTTTCCCAGGCATCTTGGGGCCGGGGGAGAGAAAGGGACAGCGCAGCTGGCCTGGGGCTCTTCTGGGAAAGTAGGGAGGGGCTTGGCTGGGGCTCTTCTGGACAGATGTGGGAGGCGGGGGGGGGGGGGGGGGGGGGGGGGGCCCGCCCCCCCAAGCTTCGGGCCCCCCGGGGGGCCCCGGGCGGGGGGGGGGAAATGACACTCAGGGCTCCTCCGGTTGGGGAGGGGGCTCATTGTTTCAGCCGCAGGGATGGGGGGGAGCTTGGGGGCCAGGCAGAAGGGGTAGATCTGGGGGCTGGCCTCCCCAAAGGGAGGCTCCACCCACTTCCCATGTATGAGAGATCAAGTTCCACCTATGAGTCATATTCCTCCCGTGCTCAAACTCCCTCACTAGTGGCTAACAGAAAAACTTTTAATATAAACATCCAGGTTGGTGCAGTAGCTTCAAAGGCACTACACCCAAATCCAAGGCCATCATTACAGATGGCATTCAGCCCTGTGCCTCACGATCACAGCAGATAGTCCTGGTGCCACATTGGGAAGTGCTGTAGTGGCAACACAGGACCATGGAAAATTGGCAAGAGATATTGATGTCCCCAACAATAACCAACAAGTATTAATCTGCATGGAAGAAGATAGGGAAGGCATATCTAAAGGTGACTCAATGCTATCTTGACAAAAATCTGGGCTATTACCTCGACCATTTGGGGGCCAACGTGAACAAGGACAGTGAAGTATCAAAACTTACCAAGAAAGAGTATCTTGAAAG